AATCTTTCTCATATTTACGATCATGGCTTCTTTCGATAACATTACCCTGGATGAGAAGTCTTCCAAGACCTACAAAGGTCAGGCTTCTCAACTTGCCAACGACCAGAAGAAGCTTCGGCTTTCGGGCACATTTACTTTGCTCCCTCTTTTTGAAGACCTTCCACCATTTGTCGAGCCCTTTCCTGACGATCTTGCTTCCGTGCTGAGCTCTGGCGACAAGACGGACGCGAAGCGCGCCCGGCCCACTGGACCTCAGAATTCGAGTACGGCTTCGAGTAACTGCAATTTAGGCAAGGGAACCAGACTACTCAAGTAAGAGACTGAACTGTACAGTTTTCTACGTCAGACACCAACTTTCTTGTTTGTTCTTATTCTGTACGTGGCATGGGCACTCTCTAGTGAGGAAGAATTTGCTTAATGCTATCCCACCGAAGCACGAGGCAGCAGATAAAATGACCGATGGTAAGCTTTAAATTTTATGTCTTGTGATGGTTCAATCGTTGCAATTGTTTTCTGGTTCCACGAGAGCAGCAAAAATTTACATCCTGGGCATGAGTCTGTGGACCACAGAAAGAAGACGAACAGGTATAAGCAGGCTTTTTCCTTAAATACAATCACTAGTTATTACAAGGCTTAGTACCTATGCAACTGCAATGAACTAAATCACGGTATTATATGCGGCTACTGTGCCCAATTATGATCACAAACTCTACTATTACGCGCGGGGCCCTGGAGACGAAGAGCAGAGGGATGCAAAGGGTCGACCTGAGTTGAATGCCGATGAGGAGGAAAACCGTCCAGCCATTCGAATATGGGAGAGGGCACACCGAAATCATATGCTCACACACGTTGAGGTGTATGCTGCGATCTTGCCGAACTTGGAGTGGATGCTTTACGGATAGCGACCCATGAGGATTTCCCGCAGTCCAAGAAAGCCGATTGGGGCACTACCGCTGACTCCAGGAAGGGACGAGTGTATCACATACATCCGAACAACCTTTGGGATTGAAAGGAAGGACATCTGATTTAGTGAGCACAGCCAGTTGGCAGTATCAGTTTAGGGGAAATATCGCTATGTTATGGTGGGTAGAGAATCGACACTCGGGAATATCAAGAAGCCACCAAGAGACTTCGATCCCCTCGTTATTTTGTTCGACTATCATTACTTGGGGGGTTCCCTATACCTCTCCCGCGTCTGTTTTATCTACATCTTCCTGGCTTCTAAGTTGTCGAATCCCTTTGTACTTCCAGTTAGAGATGTATGTTTCGAACGCTTTCTCTCCATGTTTCCCATTGCTTGTTGCATAGGCACCGACAATAGCACCTGGCCAACATTAGTATCCCGCTGTGCTAAATCACCACAAGCCGTGAAGTTTCATCTTGACTCACCCGAGTAATAAGGGACCAAGTCTGTTCCTTTACAGTATCCAAATACGCGCATCTTTGATTGCCTACCTTGAGGTTCTGCGAGACCAGCCTTAAACTCAAAATGCGTACTATTGATTGCCCCAACTTCCAAACGAAGCTTCTTGCCGTCCCACCCGGTTGGTATAGGTACTGACTCGGTCGGGATATTTTTTCTGCCCCGATACGGTGTTTCTGAGTGTCCACGGAAGCGCAAGTGTGGCTTCAAGGTCTTCTTGTCCTCCGACTTGAGCATGACGATACCAAGATCAAAATGCTGCGCCTGATCTTGGAATACCGAGATGCCTACTTCCATTTCCTCCTTCTTCAGTGACTCGGCCCAGTCAACGTCAACGCTATAGTTGAATATCGAGTGAGCCATTCGTCGACCAATGAAGGTCTGACCTCGACCCAAGGCATAGTCGGCATCGAAACCTGTGAGGTTGAGCACAGACGACTTCAACGCTAGAGCGTTTGGATGCTTCGGCGGCGAGACTCTATAGTTCCTACTCTTTGGCAGGCGATGGTGGACGAAATGAATGGGAATATCACTCCCACGACGGAAAGTAACCAAGTCATCCGCGTTATTGAGCTGACCTTCACCCTCTTTCACAAGCGATTCGGCGGGCAATTCCCATCCAGACATTTTCCCTGCAACAGCAGTGAAAACAGGAAACTCGCCATTCTCCCAAGTTACTGGCGTGAGAACCGTCTCTCTTCCCATAGGCAGATTGCCGAAGTACGGGCCAGGGTCTTCTCCATAGGAACCTCCCGCACGAACAGCCAAAGCCGAAGCCCACCACTTGCCCTTGGCATCTTGGAAAAGGTCGGCATGCCCAACAGCTTGAAAGTATGATTCCGTGTTATTGGCTGCAGTGAGGAGTGGATTGTTGGGCGCTGGTTCATAAGGACCCTTGAGACTCTTGGACCGTGCCATGGTCACCATGTGATTTTCGCGAGTTCCACCTTCTGCCAGTAACAGGTAATACCACCCATCACGCTTCCAAATATGGGGCGCTTCGGGGGATGCTCCTCCAGTTCCATTCCAGGGCATTATGATATCGCCAATTTCTCCTGTCTCAAAGTTTAGCGGCGCATGCATGACGCCAGGATAGTAGGCCGCGGTGTGTGCTCCGGAGACCCATGTAGAACCATCGTCATCCCAGAAAGGTGATGGATCAAAGCCAGGAAAGCTAAAGTGTATGGGGTCCGACCACGCGTCCGAGCTATATGGGTCTGTAGTTGTCACGAGAAAGTTATCCCACCGAGAGTCATTGACGCGGGGAAGCTGTTGATTGACCAGAGTCGTCATCAGATAAAAGGTTCCTTCATGGAATCTTAGTGTAGGTGCGTAGATACCACTCGTGGCTCTGGGGAGGAATGCCATGCCGGGGAGTTGATCTGCTCGGCTGAAGCCATTCGAGACATGCTTCCAGTTTTTCAGATCGCGACTTGCGTGGATAGGAAGACCGGGAAAGGCAAGGAAACTGGAAGTGACACAGAAGAATGTGTCATTGAACTCTGGTACAAAGGTGCAGCTGGGGTCTGGATTGAAACCCGTCAAGATAGGATTATTGAAGGTTGAGTTAACCGCAGCACAGACAGTTGTCAGCCCTAGGAAGGGCAGCGACAGTGTGTGGGCCTTCATGATAACGATATGAAGCAATTGTCAGGATGTAGAATGGTTACTCCCTAAGATTCACTACGATTTGGAACGGCCGTTATTCTAAATAGAAAGAGGCAGCCCTGTAGACCTATGTATACATAGCTCGGCTAATGACTGCTCGGAAACGTCATTGTATCGGTCGTGTGCCCTACAAACAAGCTTAAAATGCCTTTTCCGCAATCCCTTGTCGGAATTGCAATTGCCTAAATGCGTAACCAATTTAGCCTGAATTTCTGAGTCGACAACAAGAACGACTGCCGGACTAAAATGCGGGGGATCTTCAAGAATGTCTGGTGCCGGGAAAGCGAATCCGGAACTCGACGTCTTCCTGTATTTGGAACACGACGTAATGCTTGAAATTGAGAGGTTGGCAGACCAGGGTGGTGATCCATACAGCGAATCAATAGGAAAACAGATTCACATTACTTCGCATAAAGCGCTTGCTGGGGAGGTCATGACGAAGGGTAAGGAGAGGCTAGGTTTATCGGTTCTCATTGACTTGGGCATATGATGGAGTCCAGCAAGAGATTGAGAAGCAAAGACCCCGAGAAACAAATTTTTGTTGAGACACACCTTTTTTCCCTGGCTTATAATCAAGCATAGTGAGTAGCAAGGTCTCCCGAACGTACCGATTTGATGCTTGTCATTGCTCACGTCATAAGACATGTAAGCACTTATCCCTTCAACAAGTATTGACATTGGAGAAGTATTTATGTCGACGTTGGCAGTTCATAGCATTATTTATATTCAGGTACATCCTCATGTTCAATGTACACAGAAAGTTGCCATTGAGAATGCTAGTTCCGAGGATGACATTTCAGCTGTCGTGACAGTAAGTCTTCAGGGTTCATGTAGAGCAGGACCCGTATAGAATACTTTCTATTATGCTAATCTTATGCTAATTTTGTGCAGCACGTAGCGAGGGCCTGTTATGCTAGCAGGGACACAGCAAGGATATAAACGCAATATGAAGAAGGCAAAGTGAGTTCTCGCTAGCTATGTCGATATTAGCTCGACAGCCCAATATCACACATTCGGTTAAACTGAGGGTAGCAGACGCCGCGTGCCGCTCATGAAAGCTCAGCGTTTCAGATAGAATCACATTAAGCGCGCGGCTGGATATGTATTGCTTTTACAATTGTGGCCCGCTTTAATAACATTACCCTTTGCCATAACACGTTCGAAGAGGTGCAAGTATCGGTGATATTGATATCATTCTGGGGAGCTACAAAGTCTAATTGTTAATCTAACGTGGCCACACCGATTAGTTGAGCACCAGCATACAAAGTCGTCAATGATCGATCATGAGAGTGATGTCGTTGCTGGGTTCTATGGTACGAAGCAAAGCCCATCGGAAGATCACATAGTTCGAAAATCGTAGAATTCTTACTTGGAGGTAGGTGTCTTTAACGCTTAAGAACAATACCATGGAGTCAAAACTCCCTTTTCGGGGTCCAGTGCGGGTGGGATATGTAGTCAATCAGAGTAGCTCTATTTTTATCTTTTTATCTCAATTCCTACTAAACATCGTGCTGGAGAACTGAGGGCATCATCATTGGTTAAGTCTAGTGGTATCATAGAGCTGGCTTTTTAATAATATATTTAAGCCCTTGTGCGACTTTGCTGTAAGGGCTTGTACGGGCTTCAGAAGGAGTTCATGACGAGAAATGATTCCCAAAGGCCGTATTTGGTACTCTGACTAACGCACCACTTAGGCGCATCGTGTTTTCGGAGAAAAGCAGCCTTTCCAGAATGTTCTACAGGCTAAGGTAACTTCTTTCTGTTGCTATTAGATATTAGTATCTTCGTGCAATCGTCGTGGTGGATGGCCTCATAGTGATGGAAAGTGGTCGGATTGTAGGGAATATGAGCCAAACAGATGTCATGGTGACATTATTTTCCAAAATAGTAGTTCGTTTGCCAACCAATTGGGGGGCTGGCGCAACGGTAGCGCGTTAGATTCCAGCGACATATCATTGAGATGCTCGACGAGAGTCCTAAAGGTTATCAGTTCAAATCTGGTGTCCCTCACATTTTTGGCTTTTTACCAAACCACCTTTAGCAATTTTCTACTCTGTTGCCCCATTCGCCGCTTTCAAGCTTCTCATGCCAGATTGGCATTACGAATTTTATGCACCATTCAGCCGCTATGCTCATCAACCAGATTTTTTATCTTTGATACGTCGAAAATGCGCTTAAAGTAGTTGAAATGATCTACTTCGGCAGGCCTTCACGTCGGCTTCAGGTCCTATTTCTTCTTCTTTGGCTTCGTCTTATCCACGATATCCACCCACTTCATATCAACACCCTTCTTAGCCAGGATCTCTTTCGTAAGCACTTTCGTCTGATCTCCTTGAACAACAACCTCCATCAGTCCTGGTTTAGCACCATTCACTTGCCCCACGCTTGCGGATCCTGCACATTTCTTCTGTAGTTCGGGCGCAAGTACTTGAGGATCTATGAAGAAGGGCTCCAGGTTCGAGATCTTGGTAACGACCTTTGTTCCAGTTCGCTTCTCAAGTGTGATTAGGATATGAGGTGGTGAACCTGCTTTGGGTTTCTGATCGGATGGAGCTCCGTTGCGCGAGATGATGTGAAACGGTTGGCAAAGATGAGAGTCGTTCAGGATGCGCTTTTGTAGGGCACTCCGGGGAATACGTCCCGCTGCAAGAAAACTACGATCTTCATCGGATGGCTTGGAGCCCAAGATGTCGTTGGCCAAGAAAGGGTCGAGCTTGATAGTAGAGCTCCCTTGTCCTCCCAAATCGGGGTGCGAATCGACGTATGACTTCACAGCAGCCGAGATGTCTTGTGCGCTGTAGTAGTCAGTCTTGGAGGGAAGTAGAGTTGGTACCAGCTTCGCAGAGGGACGGTAGACCATCTGAATGGTGAGCTTTTGGCCAGTCGACGAATCGTGGCTTGTTGATGCTTGGCCACTAGTGTCCTCTGCAGCTTTTCCGGTGTCCGCGCCTGCCGTTTTCGGTTTTGGTAATCGATAAGGTCTGAATCCCACAACTTGCTCGTCATCAAAGTCGATATCGAGAATGACAGTCTCCCCACCGTTTCGATCCTTGGACTTGACTATATGAAGCTTGTCCAGGTGCTTGATGAACTTTTTCGCGTTCTTCCACGATGTCTTCTTGATGTTGTAGTAGTGTTGGTTTTGGGATCGGAGATTAGGCTGAATCATGTTTGAGATGACAAAGGACGGTTGGAGAGGGAAATCCAAGCCAAACTTGGGCGGTGTACCAGACTGTTTCGCCTTGTGGACTGCATAGAGAAAAGCTTGGTGAAAGGCATCATCAACCTCTTTCGTTGTGGGCTCCCGCTCTTCATCTACTTCATCCGCCACCTGCGATTGCTCATCCTTGAGACGTAGCGCGATACCCACTCCATCATTACCGTTTGCCGATGAAGTTTGGTCGGCTTTCTCGGTTGAGTTCATCCTCAATCCCGCCCACCCCTCCAAGCTTGATGGTGGCTCTATACCTCCACTTCCCAACGCTTTCCAGCTCCAACATTCATCGCCGGCCCAGTGGAGAGCCTTGATCGCGGCCCCCTTTTGCCCCCGAACGTCGTCTGGAAGGCTTCGAATGTCTATTTGGCAGGATCCAACCCACACAGGTACCGTGTCGTTCTCCAGACCTGCCACTGCAACTATAGCGCCGGTGCCTGCTCGCGAGTCCCAGCTGGTACCCCTAGGTTTCACCAAGCCGGGAACCATCAAGTCTGCACCTTGCTTCAGCTTCTCGTCGACAACAAAATCCGGCGTGTGCACAAGCGGAATGAGATTCGGGTTGCGCCATAGGGTGTAGACAGTTGGTATCAGGCGAGGATTCTTCCCTGTCTGAAACCAGAGGACCCTCTCATCTTGGTCAGGGTGCGCGCCTATGTAGACGGTTCCTTGCTCTGTTGCTGTGACGAAGCGAGCTGAAGAGGTTGACTCTGGTACAAGCGAGTTGCGTAGTACAGACTGTGTGCTTGATGACGCATCATCTCCAGTCGGCTCAGGAAGGGGGACTTGGTAGTCGCGTATGATCTGATCGGCAAGCTTCCGACGATCCGAAGATCGCAAAGGCGCCAAATTTCTGACATCAGGCTTTCGTTTGAACATGGTGAAACCGTCACGCGCAGGTATTGTTGGAGGTTCTTGTCGTTGGTCATGGACTCATCGACTACCTAGTGAAGGAGAGTATTTTTGGTGGAGCGGGGCAACTACTGAGATGGCTGAGTAATCGTTTCGTCATCCGGATCGCCTGCCCCGCCTTCTCCAGGCTACAGCAGCCGCCTCGAGTGAGTTTCACTGTTCGGTTCCCAACGCACAAAACCAAATTTTTGCAAGGCACAACAAGATGATTCGACTCTCAATACTATCAATGAGTCACGCCGCTAGGGAGCCTCACTTCGGGTGCTTCCAGACCAGCGATAGAGGGTTAAGCTTCATCGCTTCCGCGTGATGTAGCCAATCACAGCCTCCCATTGATCAGTGTGCTCCACCTATCAGTTCATGATGTTGACTTCTTGTGATCAGGAGTCAAGTGTGAGAAACACTGGTCTATCTTAATCACTGCTGATCATCATTGAGGGTAAAATGAGCCACATTTTACCGATAAGTAGCTAGTGACAAGTATTGGTGTTGCTAAGCCACGTGTTCGTTATTGTCAGCTAGGCATCAGCCTACCTAGGTACCCCAGAAAATGCAGGCATCCACTTAAGCCTCCATAAAACAACGTCTTAATTCTGAACAAGATATCCTGAGTCTCATCAGACAAGGAATTTCTCAGTCATTGCTATCAAATATGTCCTCTCTCCTCGTTTACGCTCGCCATCTGCTCGTCTCAATCGGCCTTCTAAAGTCGGCCACACCTACATCCGTTACGAGCCTAGTCAGCAATCTTCCTGGCAGACATCGCATCCTTATCAGTGGTCTCGATGCCGCTGGAAAATCCACTCTCCTTTACAAACATCTATCTCAGAAAGAAGAGGACGTATCGTATCTCGTTCCAACCATTGGCTTGAACGTTGAGGTCTACAGATATGGTCAAGTTACCTTTCAAGCGATTGACTTCGGTGGAGGCCGACCCAACTCATTTTATAGAATAGAGCGGTCATTCTTCAAGCATGCGGACGCACTCATTTGGGTTTTTGATGCAAATGATCGCGATCGGACGCCAGAGGCGAGAGAAGAACTACTTGGACGTGCCTGTCATCAAGATGGATTGTGCAAGGGTGTACCAGTCCTGATTCTGGCCAACAAACAGGATCTTCCAGTAAGTCTACTGCTGCCATATGGCCTGTATACAACTACGACTAAGAAATATAGCATGCTTGGACTCCAGAGCAGACAAGGGGATACTTTGTCGACGATATTTCCTCTTCGCTTGTAGGGAGACCACATGTAAGTCTCCCACTCCGATATAGTTACGATGACTAACTACTTTGACAGGCGGTACTTGGTACAAACCTGCAGACGGGCGAGGGTTTGAAAGAAGCCTTTGAGTGGCTAAGCAAAACCGTTGAATCCCGCATGAAGTACGATACAGGCGTTGTTGAGAAGTTTTCAGTGCTCGAAGCAGAGGATGAGGTTAAGATGATCATTCAAGAAGCTTTCCGGGAGGACCAAAAGATGGCAATTAACGAGAAAAGTGTCTAGGTAGGTAGGTAGTATGGACTGTTTGCCTTTGAATGCAATAAACGAATGTATTATACGGGATGGTGCAGCTGAACTTGATCTCAAGAAATCACGCAATTTATATCTAGTGATCTCTTCCAAACATTATTGACGCGCACTCAATTCGAGGCGTACTATGGTTCTTGCTTTAGCTCGCTTTCTTTGCTGTTCCGCATCAAATAAACACATCATGCGCATCAAGCCTCCGACCATTGGTGTTGTTGCCCCACATTCCCTTCAACCCCAAAACTTCGAACACTTCTGCCAGCCTCCTCGTGTACAAGCCCATACACAATACGTCGCCCCTTTATTCCACCAGCGCATAAAGGTTCGATGCTCTTGACGCTTCTATAATCGATGATGGCTTCATGTCGCGCATCGCACCCTCCTCTCGATAAGCTTGTAATCCCAATAACATGCCAACCATTGCTAAAGATATGCTTGCGGCATATACACAGAGGAGTTGAGCCATGTTGTAGTAAAAAAAGGTTGTCATTCTTTGATGACGGCATGGCTAGCCCGTTGAAGGGCGTTCTTTTATCCGTGCCGGATGGAGCTCTATTAAAAGCCCAAGAGACAACAGAAAAGTTGGGTTCTGCAAAATTCGAGATGATCATGTCCTCGTGTGTTTTCCGGATACCTTGACTCAGGTTCCTAATAGGAAGGTAGTTTCTCCGATCCATCAAGAGCATGAATAGGATCTTTTTTGAACTCCCGTTCACTATATGACCTGGCATCGTAACACTTCCATTCAAAACATATCTCAAGCCATAGTCGATGGAATGATGAACAGCTGTTCGGCGGATCTCTTTGTGTCGAGAAAAACGACGTAACTACGTTCAGGGATAGCCTGAGTTCGGTCATACAACCTATGATCGGGGTCTTTGTTAGGAATATATAATAAATGTAGTGTTCACCACTTTTCTTAGGTATTCGCGGCGCTTAAGGTAGGGCGATTGTGCACCCCTCATGTAGGTGAACCGGACGGTATAGTTGACCTCGTAATGTTCACATCCGATAATGACAGGTGTATAGGCCTTCAACCAATCGTCTGTGCCTGGGTAAATCCGCTGGGGTCTTAACATATCATCAACAGTCGCATAACCAATCCAATTAATAGGCTTGGTCCTGAAAGCACCAAGATTGTCGGGGTATGGGGGTTTTGCTTGTGGTTCGCCACCAATATGGGAATTTATTTACTCAAGCTCGTAATCCCCCTGGTCAGCAATACCAAAGTAAATGTAGTTACCCATTAGTGCAATCAAGGGCGTGTTGAAAGGTGCTGTAACATCACCAAGCTTCTCGACTTTCAAATTTACTCCAGATGCCAGCTCTTGACACTCATAGCCAGAAACAACAA